CTGTTTACTTGCTGCTTATGCGCAATAAATGAAACTTATTGTTTTTCTTAACTTTCTTCGTGTTTTCTGGTATATATATATATATATATATATATATATATATTGTTATAAAAATAGTAGAAAAAGTACAAACTAATTTAATTTCATTTTTTAAGCTGTTTAAATGTTGAATAGCTTAATTTATATACGTTTCTCGAATAGCAATAAACAGTTCAAAGAGTATATATTTATAAAATATATTGCCTCTTTTGCACAGCTATTCCCCATGAATGCTAAAATAATAATCCTGTAACTAAAAAAGAGTTAATTGAGTGGATCATAATAATAACATTAACATTTTCATTATTTTAACTCAATAACAGGAAACATAATATTACTGAAACACTCACCTTTGTTACAGCTGTATCTCTGTCCCAGTTACTACTTGTATTGTATATCCATCCAGTTTTACAAGTAACGTTTGTCCAGTTTGTATTGGGCTCTTTTAAAATAATAGTATTATGTTCCGTACGTATACTGTAATCCAATTTATACATGGTACATCGGCTGTAACCAGTACTAGTAGGTGCCTGGGGAATAGTCAGGTGCCTAATAAGGTGGTCACTCAAGTTCGCTGCTGCCAATTCAGGCACTTGGCACCAGTGGTCAGGAGTCCAAGACATGAACAATTGGCTAAATGCTTGACAACCAAATGTGAGGTGCGCAGGTAAGAACACGAACCATAACATAAGATTTTGATATTTTCCATTTTCTCCCACTTCATGAAGTATTTCATCAAAATCCATTATGATGTTTACTGATGACACTGTTTGTTTTGGTATATTACGAGCGAATATGTATTAGTTTAAAAAACATGACATTACGAACGCTACTTGTCGTATAGTATCAAACATCAAAAAACATTCAATGAAATGATTAAATTTAAAATATTTATTAAAATGAACTGTATACGCATGCCTTTTTCTATAAGGTAAACACTGATGTCAATTTACTTTGGACTCGATGCCTTGGTTGCTATAAATTCCGTCAATATTAACAGTAAATAAGTATTATTAAAAAAACATTTTTGGAATGTAAACAGGTCTTAAATAATTGAGGTTAGATGCATAATGGTTAATGGAATAAATTCAACTGAATAAATATTTACAAGTTTGAATGTTTGTTCTACTCTTGAAATAAAATAATTTTAACTGCGCAGGAAAAAAGCGAAATGTATAACAACAATATTATAATTTATAGTTATAATAATAATACAAGTTCAACATGTAACAAAATATGCACGAAATATATATTTAAACAAAATTTATTTACTACAAGTTTAATTTTCTAAAATGAACTAAATGTTTTAAGATGATAAATTCAAAAAATTACAAGATCAGCAATTAGCAGCTCTACCGAAACATTAACGAATTAAATCATCAACATTTAGTGAAATAATATCCACGCAAAAGCAAACTAAAACTTTTTAAAACTGTTTTCCTATACGAAATAAATGACTTTAATTATCTTTAGAGAAACAAAAGAGTAGAAATTTTCGCACAAAATATTACAAATAGATCCATAACACGCAACAGATGTTAATAAAAATTTCCTCTAAATTCCTTCCATAGAGCGTGACTAAAGTCATAAGAAAATTTCCTCTAGGGGGTGTGGGTATTGATGGAATACCTTAAAAGCTCGGCGGCTCTTCAGCCACTGAGGAAGGAATTTCGAAATGTGTCTGTTCTAAAGATTTAGTAGATTATAGCGACACTATGCGGAATGCGGACGAAGTATTTGTGAAGATAATTAATCCACATTGTCAAAAGAGAGAATATGTTTGCATATTAAAAGAAAAATGTGATGCAGATAAAATGCAACATGGATTTTAATTACATGAGTTTTTTAACGAAATTTTGAAAAATAGATAATTTGCTATGTTTCAAATATTCAATTAAAGAAAAATAGTAAAATAATTCATATTGAATAATAATTAAAATGGTAGTAAATAATACATGAATAATCCGTTCAGATGTTTAGTAGATTATAACGTCAGTATGCGAAATATGGATGAAGTATCTGTGATGATAATTAATACACATTTTCAAAAGAAAGAATATTTTTGCATATCAAAAGAAAAATGCAATGCAGATAAAACGGAACATTTATATACGGATTTTAATTACAGGAGTATCTTAACGAAATTTTGAAAAGTAGATTATTGACTATGTTTCAAACATTCAATTAAAGAAAAACAGTAAAAATGTTCTTATTTAATAATAATTAAAATGGTAGTAAATCATAAATGTCTAATCCATTTAGATATTTAGTAGATTATAACGTCAGTATGTGAAATGTGGGTGAAGTATCTGGGAATATAATTAATTCACAGTGTAAAAAGAAAGAATATGTTTGCATATCAAAAGAAAAATGCAATGCAGATAAAACGGAACATTTATATATAGATTTTCATTACTGGAGTAATTTAGAAAAACTATGTTACAAGCATTTAATTATAGAAAAATAGTAAAAGTTTTCATATTTAAAATAATAGTAAATAATAAATGCTATGGAGAGCAAATATAGGCAAATCAAAATAAAATCTAATTCAGCTAGCATGCAACATTTCATGAAAAATTAAGAAAATATTTGAAATAGAACTAACTCTATTCTTATGAAAAAAGCTTTTTTAATTTTTAATTATAAGTGCAATTTAGTAGAATATATGAAAAAGAGGTTATTAACAATGTTTCAAACAGTTCAAATGTTATTAACAATGTCATTGTCGAATATTAAATGATTTCGTTATTTTAAATGATAGCAACTAAACAAAATAGTACTAGTACTTAAATTATCCAATTTAAAATCACAAAATAGCCAACAGCTGAAACATGATAAAAATATTTTATCAATAAATAAAAGTAACTTAATTTAGAAAACATCAGATTTTATAAATGAAAGATTATTAATAAAAATCAAATGTTTAGTTATTGTCGAGTAATAAGATTTTTGAAATAAAATTAAACGATCAAAGTTAGATTAAAATTTTAGTGCTAGATGTAATGTAGGGGATTTTATTACAAAAATGTTTATTAACAATTGTCCAATTATTTATTCATTGTTTAATGTCAGGTAGTTATGATATTTTCAAAAACAATCATTAAACAGACCAGAACTATAGTTTAAAAGAGAAAACAGGAAATAAGGAAAAACATGGTAAATAAATATATTATAAAAGCTATTTTAATCACAATTAGATTTAAAAATTAAACAATTTTAACAAAAGTATTGCGAAAGAAATTTTAGTGTTAATAATAATCAAATATCTAGTTTTTGATGAAATTAAATACTTTTAGTATTTAAAATGAAAGTATTTGATCATAAGTTAACATTTATATAAAATTGACAAATGAAAATAAAAAATATATTTGAGTGAAAATGAAAATTAGTTTAATGACAAATGTATTATAGTTTAAAGCATAAAATAATGAAACTTATGAATAAGCGAAATACGATATTTTTAAACATCAAGGGAGTTTTTTGTTTTCCCTACTAAGGTATTGAATAGATTCTTTCTATTGATAGTTTTTACTTTCTGTTTCTGGTGATTTGTAATTTATTATTGCAGATGGAGTTAAAAAAAGTGTGCCCTTTTTTATTTGTTTCATTAATAAACTTTGTTTTCTCTTGGCTTCATGTATAAGATACATATCAACAAATACAACAAGCAATGGCCTTGTTAAAAACATTTTCTGATTCAGATTTAGAGGATCTAGATATCTTTTAGTCTGAGACTGATGAACCAGGAGTTTTAATTGCTACGGAAAAGATACATGAAAAATAATCCCAAACCCCTGTATTTCTATCCTATTTCTGTACAATATTGTGTAAAATAGTAATATTGATGAAGATGGGGAGAAAATCGAATCCTTGATTTAAATGTAAATAAAAACCAAAAAAGGGAATACCCAATTATAAAATCTAAAAATAGTTGAATTTAATAAGCCAACAGAAATTAAAATCCCGAAAATAAATATGTAGAAATATTATAAAAGCGTTAATTGTGCTCCTCTTAACATATTTAAAAAATCACTTCTAGATAATATCTCGTCAATCATTTTATGCTGCTTTAAAAATGTTAAACTATTATTTTATTTTCAAAAATGATATTTTGCATTTTCATAGACTAAGTGTTTGACCATTTTGCTTTGTACTGGAGCACAGCTAAAACAGATAGCTTAAGTGATCTTGATCACTGTTTCAAAAACGAGTCATTGTTAGTAAGGCAAATTTTTTCAAGTTTTTTATTTATTAAATTTTATTGTCTTTAGATGCTTTTATAGTAGTGAATGCATATTAATCTAAACAATTTCATAGAAATATCTGAAATTAGATAAAATTTGCTATATGGTTTTTAAAATAACAAAAAAAAAAACTCATATCTAAAATATTTGTTAAAATGTTTTAAGATTTTATACACACTTATAAATGTATATTGCTGTTGAATTTATAACATCCGAAGTTTTTTCTTCTTTCAGGATGACCCCAAAAATTTAAATATCCATAAGTTAATATTTAAGGATATTTTCGTTTTTGTAGTTTATTATTAAGTTTGTTTATAAATAAATTTGTAACTAACCATTCATTTGTAATTTAACTAGTGCAGTAACACATTTGAAAATTATTTTTTCTTGTAATCCTTGCAGTTTTAAATTTTAACTATTTTTTATTGACCGACTGAATGCCCATAATTTGTACATGGTTAAAAATATTAATAATAAATTAATCGCTATTGATCAACATTACAAAGTTATGCTCAAAATTGGAAGACATATACCAACACGGTTAATAAAACTAAAATAATTCCATTTTTCTTTTAAATTTATAATTTCTATTTCAGTGCCCAGCCGTTATATATTATTAGATTAAGTAAATTAAGTTTCCAACAGATTTTCCTTACAAAATATTGATTCATCATATGGTATGATACGGTTGCTTAAGAAAAATGCTCAAAATTAACCACAATCAAGCAATTTTGTCCTGTTTTCATCTCTTTAGAAGGGCTGTAAAAAGCCCTTTCCGATCAATGGTGTCAATAATAATCTTTCGATTTATTTTACTTTTCTCCTAAACGAATTAGCAATACTTTTCCTTTGATTCTGTTTTTCAGTATTTATTTTCTTTCTCTTTTCCATTTATCTTAAAATTATTTAGTGATTAAGAATTACGCTTTAAAATCATTTTTATAAACAAAATAAACACATGGCTTTAGAAATGTGGATTTAATGATTTAATCCAAATATGCTATTATGTTCATGTTGATCCTTTAACCGGTGCTGAGCAATCGATCTAATTCTGTGTTTACTGCTACCAATGTTCAACTCCGTAGCCTTATAATTTTGAAACGAACTTTTCGATGGAACTAACCCGCATTTGCTGACAAGAAAAAACACGAAATCCCCCCATGGTTAGCCCGACGGCAAGGATATTTTAGCCTATGTTCCGTCTACCCCTGAGGATATTTTACGTCAGCACTGTAGTCGGTGCGTGCCGGGAGAAAAATTCGCATCGACTAACCACCACTGGAGTTCGAACCTGGGCAACCCCATAGAGAGAGAGAGAGACGAGCGCTATATCCCCTGAGCCACCGCGGCTCAAATGTACAATATTGACTAATTTTATTTGTTTTCTGGAAAAAAAAAAGTGAAGGGGAAATTTCGTAAATATGCCGAATAGCCAGAAAGAATTTACCGAATAGCGAAAATCTTTGTGAGATCCCAGCGCTCCTGGCTCTATCATTAGTTTG